CGAGACATGACCCTTTGATAATTTTCCTTCCTTTTTCTTATTTTTATCAGCTAAATGATCATTATCTAAATTTGAAGAAAATTTGTCTGTTTTTTTTGTAATATGCCTTTATGGAAATATTAAATTACTGTTCATACCTTCACCCTCCTCTTCATTCAATGAGGAAAGACGCTTTACACGCTTCTTCGTCTGTTGGGGTGACGCCGCTGGAATTTCTTTCAACACTTCTTTGGCTGCTGCCGGTATGGCTGAGTGTCCAAACAAAATTGCACGCAATTTTACTAACCATTCCTGATTTAAAAACGAAAACAAATAGAATTGGGGCTTGTAGCGTTCTTCGAAAATAAAGCGTCACACATCGCTTACCTCTGTTAATTGTTCTAATTCTCTGGATGCACTCTCGGTGATATCGTATAGTTGCACTAGATCTTCCATTATGCGAATATTTTCCTACAACAGTCTCTTATTGATAACACTTAGAACTTTAAGAATGTTTCTTTGTCTTAATAATTTATTTTTCAATTGCTGTACATTTCACAAATATTTATTTTTGTTTCTCTTTCACACTCTCTTCGATTCCTTCAAGGAGACAGAGCCACGCTCGCACCGCCAACACCGACTTGATTGAAATGAAACTCAGTAGTGAAAATTTCAAAAGGATTTAACCGCCATTACTCATTGTGGATTGTGTGGAATGCGATCACAGTTGTAAAATGTAGTATCAAGTGTTCATACAGAGTTGTTATTTCGAGTTACAGTGCTGCGTGCGGTCAACATAATTATTCAATACAGTAGCGTATAGCAAACATGTTGTAGTAGTTTCTCGCACAGTCTAAAGTCGAAAACAGAATCATCGTCTGAATTTTGATCTGTAATTACGCGTTGACAAAAAAATTGTGTCGTGAATTTTGGCGTCTACGAAGAGTGCCTGATCTCAATAAATTCTGTTGCGTGTGTTTGTAAAAAAACTGTTATACCATAGTAAAATTAAGAAGGCAAATTCATTTCAAATAAGCATACCCATGGTACAATAAGGAGGTAGAGCAGCTTCGTAAAACTGCAGAAATACAGCCCTGAGGCTATGCCCACTTCCTGTCAGAATTATTCAAAATAATAAGCAACAAGTTGTTTTCATTTAGTTCATATTTTAATTTATGAAATTGAAAAAGAAATTTCCTGGTCACAATCCTCCTACCTATCATCTGTAGGAATTTTGAACGAAACGCCTGAAAGCCTTCTTGACCACAACTTGCCACAATTCTACCAAAAAATCGCGTCTGGCTGTCACAGAGGATAGATAAATAAGTTTATTCTTTTTTACATTGTATACTATATAGCAACTTAATATACCACATAAGATTCCATATAATTGTTTTTACATATAAGCTCACTGAGCACTCGATTATTATTATATGATACATTTATCTGTGATAATGTTATTTTACTACACATAAAAAAAAAGCTCTTTGAGCACTCGATTAACTGTGATAAACTATACATTAAGCATACAATTATATTTAAAAACTATCACTTTTATACCCTCTGTTCGACACTGTTTTAACAGACCACTTTGTTATTTAGTTTTTTAGTTTGTTTTGATTCCTTATTTATTATTACTGCAGACGTCAAAGCGCTGCTCGTATCAGCGGAGGCCGGGAGCAAGCCTCATTTTCTCTTTTCATCTTGCACGAAAAATAATACATTCTCATATTACGCTAAGTAGCATATCTTTACGACTTCACTGTATAATAGAACAAGACGACTATAGTTCTAAGTTAAACATGTTAACCATTCGATTTGTACGTACATTTACCAAAGAAAAAGAAGAAGACTCTAATAAAGTTTACTTTACTTTACTTTACTTAGTTCATATTTTTTGTTCATTTCTAAAATGAGCCAAATAGCGCGAAAGATGAATGGATGTTCTCCAAAAATATGATCCTAAGTGTTCAATCTTTCAATTCCATGCCAAATCTCGTTAATATTATTAATGCGTGCCCCGCAATTTAAGTTTCTTCCAATCATTGATTTTGAAAATATTTTGTTTTTATTTTTCAAAACACAAATACGTACACAAAATTGGCAGAAGTCGGGCACACTTAGAAAAAAATTGTAATCAGCTGGGAGCTCTACCTTACCTTTTTATTGTACCATGAGCATACCCATCTCTGCATTTTCTGCAATTTACCTTGTCAAATTTCCCGACATAGAAAACAGGTTCCCATTGATATTTTTTGTTTTGACAAATAAAAACCAAATATTTTTAAAATCAGTGATTGGAAGAAACTTACATTACGAGGCGCTCATTAAAGCCATTAACCAGTTTTGCCATGGAATTGAATGATTATAAATTTTGGATAATATTTCGCTCTATTTAACTAATTTTTAATATAAGAAAAACAAATAACAAATAAATTCAAAGAACTTGTTGCATGTTTTGTTAGAAAATTCTGGCAGGAAGCTGACATAGTGATGTATTTCTTTATTTTTCTATCTCCTTATTCTATCTCCATGGGTTTGATAAATGAGATTACCTCTTTAATTTTTGCCATGGATACTCCCTTAGGAGGATATAAATGCCACGCAGTTCCTGTTTGTTTAATAGCCAAAAATAATGTAGCAAAAAAGACAATTGATTTAAAAAAAGTGTTTTTTTCATATTGACAATGAAAATGTATATCAGAAAATATTTATATTCAAGCATGGAAGTAAATAACAAAACATAATATGAAATTATACACTAGTATAGTCAAATAAGGTGGGTTTTGCAGCTACCTTTTAATAATGGTGCCAATTTTAAGCCGGTTACTACATCCTTCCGATAGTTAAAAGTAAGATGTTGTCGGACAAATTAGTCGTTTTTCGGTATTGTAAATTTTAATTAAATATGAACTTTCCGATAAGCAAAAAGTCAGACCATCTTCCTTTTATCTTTTAACTAAAAGTTAGCTGAACTCTTGTTACCATTGATAATAAGTTGAAGAAATGAAATAAGATCGATCCTGAATTTCTCACATTTTCATGAAATGACCGTTATAACAGTGATTACTAAAACTAAAAAAAATTAGCGTACAAGAAGTATTCATGGCACAATTACAGAAGGTAGAACAAAGCTGTTAAATTTTTAAAAATACCAAGTATAGCCGTTATATTGGGGTCTATACGACGTGGACCTACATAGGCATTGTTTGTCATAAGACATTACCATATTCAAATTCGAAACTTGAAATAAACGGTGAATAATGTAGCTAAAATTATCAAAATATGGTATATAGGGAGGAAGACCTGGTCCTACATAGACAATTCTCTGTCACAGGCTGTAGCATCTATTACGAACTTCAAATACCACATTTCAAACAATTTCGTACCTAACATCGTCAAAATACCGAATTTAGGGAGGTACTGACCTGGACCTGCATAGACAATTTTCTGTCACAGACTGTAGTTCCTATAACGAACTCTAAATACCTAATTTGAAACAACTTATCAAAATACCGAATATTGGGAGGTACCGTGTGGGCTATACGAAGACGTGGACCTGCACAGTAAATTTTCTGTCTTAGGGTGTAGTATCCATTTCGAACTTCAAATACAAAATTTGAAACAATTCCGAATAACAATGTCGCTAAAATCATCAAAATACCGAATATCGGGAGGTACCGTTATATGGGGGCTATACGAAGACGTGGACTTGCACTGATAATTTTCTGTCTTGGGGTTTAGTATCCATTTCAAACTTCAAATACCAAATTTGCAACAATTCCGGAGAATAATTTCGCAAAAATCATCAAAATACCGAATATCGGGAGGTACCGTTATGTGGGGGCTATATGAAAACGTGGACCTGCATGGCCCATTTACAAACTTAACCTGCCTACTGGAAAAATAAACATGTGTGCAAAATTTTAGCCATCTATTTCAATTCATTCGAAAGATAGCGTGATTACAACAGACGGACAGAGAGACGGAAATCGCTAAATCGACTTAGAATTTTTCGCTGATCAAGAATATACATACTTTGTTGGGTCTAACATGAGGAGGAGTTACAAACGGAATGACAAAGATAATATACCCTCCATGGTAGAAGAATATAGGTACACGCGTCGACACAGCTGCTGGGACAATGAACTGTCAAACCAATTTTGGAATTGAAAATTTTGAATGAAAAATTATTTAAATTTGTAAAAATTGTTGAAAACGCAACTAATTTCAGCAATTTTCTTTTTCATTATTGCATTTTATGTAATTTTTTTTATTACATTTTTCTATAAAAGTAAAAAAAAACATAAGGAGTTGAAAGAAAATTGCCAATAGGACCATTTTTTTTATTTCTATTCCCTAGCAAAATATAGATTCGGACTATTTAAAAATGGCAAGTATAGCCAAACTTAGTGCTTATTTTCACTTAATTATTTTCATGAAATCACTAATATAACAGCGTTACCTAAAATTGTGTACATGAAAGTATGAAAATTACCCACTGTGGTAAAATGTTTTGTACGCCTGTACTACCTAAATCAAAATCTACTGACTTATAACGTCTCAAAAATTTATCATTTTTAAAATGCATCAAATTGTTATATTTTCCATATACAAACATTCATTCTTTTCGTATTATTAATTTTATACACAAAAAAGAACATGTGTTGAAATATTACAACTTTGAAATGTCGTACGCTCGGTAACATTCATAATTATTGTTCCCCAGTGCTTATTATAACAGTTAACAAAAAATATTACAAAATAAACGATGAATCGTAAGGTGTGATCTCCCTTTGTACTTTCTCTTGAGGCGCCATAAATTGAATTGAGCCTCATAAATATATCAAGAGAATTTGGGTTACATTAATTTCATATATTTTATTGAATCTTTTGATATTTCTAAAGACAAGAACTGTGCGGAAATTTAATTCTTAAGTATTTCCACCGAAACCCAATTTAAATTCAAATGTCAATGTATCGGAATTTTCATCGGGGAATACAACTCTGTGTTGATGACATGTGAAGATGTGAGGTTGAGAATAGCGCCATTAACATGACAGCGAATTTGCGTGGAAAGCAAAGAAACGGGAAGAAGAAAAACGTAAATTAAGTGAATTAATAAAAATTCGACATAAAACTTGTAATTTTTCTATTGAAAAATAACAACGAACGCTGTAAAATGCCTTTCTAACGCACCCACATCCAAGGCAAGCAGTTGCAGCATAAAAATCAACCACTTCTCGAAGATACAGCAGAATTTTGACAACAAGATAAGTAGTGCAACAAAAGTAACAGCAGCAGAGGAAGCAAGCATCAAACTCAGAAAACACACACATACCACGACGCACAATGGGACTTGACTTCGATGCGTTGGAATACTGCAAGAGTGTGAAGCATTCGCAGCCACCGTACGGTTGTCCAGTCCCCAAATGTGGTCGCAGTTACAAGACGGTGATAGGTCTGCAGTACCATCTGGTTAAGTATGATCACGACAATCCACAGCCATTGACACCGGTGATGACGCCAAATCGAAAGAAGGCGCGTTCTCGCGGTGCAACACATTCGACACCAAAAGGTGGTGGTGTTGGCGGAACAGGTGCTGATGGAGCTGAAGATGAACAGAATGGCGGAAACGCCAATACAGCACATTCAATCAATCCCGAGTCTTTGGTTTCATATAACGACGATGAACAGAGGGTAACGTTTAATGTGGAGGGTAAAAGTGTACGTTTGGGTACAAATGATCCCCTGCCTTTTATTGAGGAGGATGAATATATGGAGCTTGTGGAAAGGGGATGTATAGTGAATGCCGATGCCCCGCCATTGGAACAGAATGCCGCCTGGGCCAAAGTGAAGGTGCCAGAAGCACGATTTCAAGAGATTGATAATTACAATGTACCAGATGCACCTCCCAGACCATTGGCATACTATCGCTTCATTGAAAAGTCGGTGGAAGAACTGGACGGTGAGATAGAGTATGATGTGGACGAAGAAGATTCGGCTTGGCTAGAATGGATGAATGAAGAACGTGAAAAATCAGGCCATAATCCTGTCAATATTGATACCATGGAATTGTTGATGGATCGCTTGGAGAAAGAATCATATTTTCAGGCAGCTGCAAATGGTACGGCGACGGGCAATGAAGTGGACGACGATGCCGTCTGTTGTATTTGTATGGATGGCGAGTGTCAGAATACGAATGTTATCCTCTTTTGCGATATGTGTAATTTGGCTGTACATCAGGATTGTTATGGCGTCCCATACATACCGGAAGGTCAGTGGTTATGCCGGCGTTGCCTGCAATCGCCGAGTACACCGGTAAATTGTGTATTGTGTCCAAATACGGGTGGAGCATTTAAGCAGACGGATCGCGGTCAATGGGCACATGTCGTTTGCGCTTTATGGATACCTGAAGTTCGGTTTGCCAATACAGTGTTTTTGGAACCAATTGGTGAGTTGAATAATATGGAACAATTAAAGAGATCACAACTGCAAATCTTACTTGCCAAGACTTTTTTCAATGTTACCGATTTTGTCGGTTAAAAGCAGTTAAAAAATCATTGTGCCATATTCGATATTTCAACCTGTCTTTTTTTATCCTTGCAGATTCGATTGAAACAATTCCTGCCGCTCGATGGCGTCTAACATGCTACGTCTGTAAAGAAAAAGGATTGGGAGCATGCATTCAATGTCATCGCAACAGTTGCTACGCCGCTTTCCATGTAACTTGTGCCCAACAGGCCGGGCTCTATATGACCATGGATGTTAATGAAAGTTCGGGTCACAATGATTCCTCGGCACATGTTCAAAAGTTTGCCTTCTGTCATTTGCATACCCCAGACAATGCGAAAACCAAATTAAATCTCAAAGACTTTGAAGATGCACGTCATAAAATGAAAGAGGCTCGCAAAGCATTGGCCAAAAAACGCTCTTCTGCTCCAGTTGTACTGATACCTACGATACCGCCCGATCGTATACAGGAAATTGCGAGCATGGTGCACATGCAGAAAAAGAAAGAATTCCTCGATCGTTTAGTCGCTTATTGGACTATGAAGCGAAAGTACCGCAATGGTGTACCACTATTGAGAAGGCTGCAATCGCAGGGAAATCATCACGGTGTAATACAGCGTAATGGCATAGAGGGCTCACCGGATACATCGGAACTGTATCGTCAACTAAAATACTGGCAATGTTTGCGTCAAGATCTTGAGAGGGCGCGTCTCCTTTGTGAATTGGTGCGTAAACGTGAAAAGCTTAAAGCAGCCTACGTGAAAATATGTGAACAAGTGATAAATATGCAACTGGACCCCTTGGAGACTGTGTTGAGAAAACTGCTAGACGCTTTGGAAGCCCGTGATACTTCAGAAATATTCCGTGAACCTGTAGATACCACAGAAGTTCCCGACTACTTGGACATAGTCAAGCAGCCAATGGATTTGGGTACAATGAGGTCGAAACTTGATAATCGACAGTATTCCAGCCTGGATCAGTTGCAGAGCGACTTTGATCTTATGATTCAGAATTGCTTAGCTTACAACAATAAAGATACTGTTTTCTATAGAGCTGGTATACGAATGCGCGATCAAGCAGCGCCATTGTTTCATGAAGCTCGAGATGTATTGGCACGTGAGGGTCTGCTAGACACTAGTCAAGCGGATTCAACGGATCATGTAGAACAAGAAGTGGAACAGGAATTGCAAGAATTATTGGCAGCCACACCTTGCGAGGCTATAGTTCAAAAACTACTTATTTTGGCAGATAAATCTCAGGTCTTGAAAAATCCAACGTATCGCACAAAGAAAATCAAGCAAATACGGCTGGAAATATCACGGATGCGAAAAACTATACAAAAAGCTAGAATGGCAAAAGTAAGTATCGATAAATATGTTTACATTGAGTCATATTAAAAACGATATACTGTTTAAATTTAGCGACATAATGCCTCAATCAATTCTCAAACTGAGGATGACGATGAAATGGAAGAGAATCACAATGTAGAGGACATGGATGTGGATACACCGCTCCCGATAAGGCCACAACCGCCGCAACACCAACCAATTCCACATTTACAAAAAGTCAAAGACGACCAAACACCGAAACGGTCACGTAAACCCTCGGCAAGAAGTATAAACACTCTCAGACACAATCACCAGCATCGGCATAATTTTAGCGATGATGATGATGATCATGGTAATCACAGTGAAGATGAAGACGATACAATGGGTGATGAATCGAAAGGTACTAGCAACAACACAACCCAGCATACACCACCAAGTAGCCCCGTTAAGAGTCTCAATAGCAGTGCTTCACCTGTCGGCGTAAATAGAAGGTAAGATAATTGACATTACTTATCATTTCACATGCTGAAGATCTAAGATTCTCATCGATTTCTGTTATCCATAAAGAAAACTACATTTCAATTTTAGTTTTTGTAGAGCATGACTGATAGATTGTAGAAGGGAAGAATAATATTGGAAAAATTCAAATATTCTTTTGAGGCATGTTGGAAAACTAGTAGTTGCATGATGACTCTTTTTTAGACCATTAGTTGTGAAAAATTAAAAGGGTGCCATAATACAATAAAAATATATATTCGATTTAGAAATTAAACTCGCAACATACTAGCTGTTTTGCGTGGAGAAAAAGGTCAAATCACCGAATTTATTTAGCAACCATTGAAATTACTGTCGATATGTGCACGGTACTCCTTTAAAAAAGAGGCACGCTATAAACATTAAATTTCCGCAACCATTTTTATTCGCGACTTTACTTTCCATAATATCGCTATGCCTGGGTATTATCTACATTCAGGATTCCTTCTAAAATGTTAAATTGCCATTACATTTCTATGAGTTTTTGATGAGTGGAGTTTCTCAACTAAACTCTCAGCTCCGCAATCTTAGATTATGAAAATTTTAAGACAGTCTAGATTAGGTACATACAATGACTTAGCTTCTAGAAAGTATTATGTTTTATGGGTTGAAATTAGGGCATGGGGTGTAACTTACAAATCTGCGTGCTTTCACGAAAGTCTGCATCTCAGTATTCTTTGTTATTCTTACATGTCCCATGTGTGAAGAGTGTCACGCATGCAATAATGTATTTTCAATGAATTTTTCGTCGCCAAATAACATCTCAAATGTGCCAAATGAGGACATCAGTTCGCACACAGCATAACTTAAACTGGAGTGATTAATTTTCGAGTACCTACTACCTGATAAGGTATCCGTAGCATAGTGTATGCAAAACCAAGTAATACCAGAACACGATTTGGGTCTTGAATGCCCATCTTCTGCTTTTTTTCATATGTGTTGCTGCATTTCATCAAAACTTTTTGTATGCACATTAATTAGATTTTGGTATATTGTAATCATATAGAGATTCGAGACTTTCAGTCACGATATAATTAACTTTGACTTTGACATTCTTGTAATAAAGCGTGAAATAGTTTTTTGGCAGCATTATCACATTTCAAATCCAACATTTTTATTTGCAATTCGAGAAATATACTTTGTAATTTGAGCAATTCATTTGATATTCGTAACGTTTCCTTTGCCCCTTTCCGATTAATCACACATTCAATTCAAATTTTCTTTTCAATAGTAATTCGAAAATTTTTACTAAATAGATAATTTATTCGAAAAAAATTCGTTTCAAAAATCAATTTTCAAATTTGCTAATTACAAAAAATGTAAAAAATCGCATAACAAATGATGCAAAGTTATGTGCTCAAATTACAACTGAGTAACATTAAAAGCCATTTGTGAAAATTTACAAATTACACGCAAAAATGTAATTTTTTTTTTATGTTGATTTGTTCCAAAATGAAAAATATGTCATCCAAACTCAAATATAGTTCAAAAAATGTTATCATTCTTTTAGTGTATTGAGCAATGTGTTTAATTAGTTTTCGATATCCACTTAAGTCTATGTTTTGGTTGACAATGGAAAAAATGATTTAAGGTTAAACAACAGACAGATTAAATAATAACATTAAATATGTGACACAAGGACTATCCCATCAAATCCAGTTATCCATCCATCCATTCATACCGCAATCCCGCTCATTTTTTTCCATTTTTATCTACATTTTTCCGTCTTTGTTAAAAAAATGCAAATTAACGCACGTACTATTACAGAACTGCGGTGCTGTTTACACGTAAAGCGCAGGCCGCTCTTAAACGACCCACGGATACATCGACGTCAGCGACTGCAACGCCAGTTAAAGAAGAGAATCACAACGTTATCACCAATGCCTCACAAATTTCTACCTTGGGTTCGCTCATCACAGCTGTGAACAATAGCGCATCGTCCACCTCTGCATCCGTGACATCGTCATCTCTCATCACGTCTGCCTTATCGATAAGCAATAAATTGAGCGGTGGACTCAATCAATTGTCCCCGCTGTCGGCTAGTTTAAATCAGGTGTCATCGTCACTGACAGTAAAATCTCCAGAACGAAATGCGCGACACAGACGCCTCAACGAAATGCGCAACAGTGGGTCTGTGTCACCGAAAAAGTCACCCAATCGAACTTTGACAGGACTGCTTACAACATCCGCTGCAGCATTACCAACATCCGCCCAATCTGCTACTGCACTAAACACCGCCACACCGACCATATCCCTGCCCCCGGCCACAAGTTTGAGCAGTTATCAGCATATTCCCGACACATTTCGAGTTTATCGAACCAACAATGAACGCGATGCCAGTGATAGCGACGACGATGACATGAGCGACATCTCAGGAAGTCCGTGCAGTAGTTGTTCGGGCATCACAGGAAGTGGGACAGGTTCCGATTACGACTCTAGCGACGATAATGACGACGATGAGGACGAAGAAGATGATGACGAGGAAGATGACACCGAGGCACAGAATGCCGATGACAACAATTCCCGTGATAAACAGGATATTGAAATGAATGATAGTACAACTATTGGCGAATCTGCTACAGGCGGTAATAATGGCCAAGCTATGAGCTGTAGTGGTGATAGTGATACCGATGGTGCTGTTGCACCTGCTGGACGAATAAGCCGTGCAGGGAATGATTCAGATACTCAAACACGGAGTATAAGTAGAAGAACGCCCACGCCTCTGGATAAGAAACAACGCAGTGTTGGCCGACCGAGAACGAAGAAAAAGACTGCGTCACCTGCTCCGGCAAGAAATCCCACATCAACACCCCCGCCAACAGCAACTCTGCCGGTGAAAGCAGCTACTCGTTCCGCATCCAATAAACCAGCAACACGAACGGCTACACCGACGCCAAATAATGTAAATAGTATGAAGACACGTAAAGCGCACAATGCCGCATTGGCAAATGTAAACAACAGTAGCATGAACAGTAGATCGAAATCCAACCACATTAACTCCTCGTCGGCGGCGGCGACGACTGCGGCTCTAGATATGGCAAATTCCAATAGTACAGCAGATAATTTACTGAAACCTCCACTTGAACCGTTACAGCTGGTCTGGGCAAAATGTCGCGGCTATCCATGGTATCCAGCTTTGATCCTTGATCCCAAAACCCCTAAAGGATTTGTCTACAACGGTGTCCCACTGCCAGCACCGCCCAGTGACGTTTTGGCTCTGCGTAAAAACTATCCCCAAGATGTAGAGGTGTTTTTGGTTTTGTTCTTCGATGCAAAACGGACATGGCAATGGCTGCCGGCCAACAAGTTAGACATTCTTGGTATTGACAAAGAGTTGGATCAACAAAAGTTGGTGGAGTCGCGCAAACCAACAGAAAGAAAGGCCGTAAAGAAGGCTTATCAAGATGCCCTGCACTATCAGAGTCAAGTATCCGATTTGGAGGGACAAGGGCCGGATCCGATTATGTGAAAATCAAGGAGGCAGAAGTAACTATTCTACAATTGCCTCATCGATGATCTTACTTACCGTTGTGCTCTTCATCTTAATATCAACAAGAATAATAATAAAGTTTAAACTATGATTTTCAGGTTCAGATCTACCCTACATATGTATGTATGATTGTTCTTTTAAGTTTATATTCCTTTTTATTTTTATCGTTATGTGTTTTTTGGAGGAAAAAAATATGTCCCAATAACTAATTACCACAATACACACACACACATAAGGGAGGTCTCCTTTTGGTTTATGTTGGTGTTGTACCGAGACTTGCCTAAAGCCCCGATTTGTGTGGAAATTCTCCATATTCGTTGTGATCGATAATTGCTCTCCTTAATTTTATACTCTCTGTTTCATAAGTTTAAAAGTAATGGTATTACCATTAAAGAGACTAAGAAGAAGAAGAATAAACCATAAAAACTGAAAATAATTTTGTTTACCTATTTATCAAACATAGACAGACACAAACACACTCCTTACTAACGTTAGATTTTTTCTGTTAACATTTATTTAAGAAAAAAAAAAAAAAAAGAAATGAAAACTAACAAACCCATTTTTAGTGCCGACATTTGTATATATCCGAATGATTAACTATCTACTCAAATTCAATTTGAGCACTTTTCCTTTTCCTCTGGACCAAGTAAAGTTTGGTAAAAAAAAATTAATATGTTGTTACACAAAACTTTCGTATTGTATTTATCGTGTTTCCCCTCTATGATATATATTCTATGTATTATTAGCTATTTTTCCTTTAGTTGCAGTTAAATAAAACTACGTATCTTAGTCTTTTAGTATTTAAGATATTTTGTAAAATAAAAAGCAAACAACAAAGAACATGTAATGGTAACTGCTGCTGCTGTTTTTTTTTTTTTGAAATCTCAAATGTGTGGTGACCAATTTTAAAATTTACATGCATTATTTTTCATGAATATTTAATAAAAAAAAGCATCTACAATTTGAATCTACGTGTCTCAAAGATATTTGACGCCATGGGCTAAATAACTTATTAGATGTATTGAGGCCAATTGGTCTCAAAATAGCACCATCTTTTTATATCTTTTTTTGGTTTATATCTAAACATTGAACGTAAACTTCTGAAGTATATATTTTTGAGTATATATTTTCCATTATGAAAACATTTCTTAAAATCTATCAACTAATAATGTTGTAAATTTTGATCATTTTTAAAATTTATCATTTACTTTTTCGGATTATTCATTTCTATTTTCAAAATACAAAAAAAAAAAAAAGAAATTGTTCAATTGTCAATCTTAAATATATTCGACTTTGAAATTTCGTACACTCGACGAATTTGGGTAGCATTTATATAAACACACGTGTTTATAAAATAAGTGGCGAACATCTTCGACCGAATACGTTGAGTAACGCAGGAAAATACAGAAAACACAGAAATGAAAAATTGTAGCTATTAATATTTAAATTCATAGACAATGAAATACCCTTGCCAAATGTGTTTGGAAATCCGCTAATATAGATCCACTCAGTTCATTTCGTGAATTTTCACTTTCTTACATTAAAATCAGATATGTGGCTGGATTCCTGTTTTATGAAAATATGAAATAAAAAATTTTTCATTTGACGTATCTTTTTTCCCTTTATAACATTTTTTATAGAACAAGAATTTAGGCCCTGGTAAAATTGGCTATAGAAGGCCAACATCTCAGTAATTTCCCTAGGCCTTTTTGTCAGCATAGCTGTTATATCAATATATTATTTGAAGCATGGTACAATAAAATCAAGGTTGGGCAGAACTAGCATATGATTTTATTTTTTTTTATTTTCTTGGCTTAATATGTCAACTTTATTTTTTTATGTGTGTGTATTTTTCCCAATAATAAAAAAAATTGTTCAGAAAATATTCAAATTCGAGTGTTTTCAAAATGCTTATTGCAACATATGCATCGACAAAATCTGCAGTTTTTGCAGCGAAATAAACCTTTAGAAATATATAGAATATGATTTTAAAAATAAATGTTGACCTTTCATTCAGTTTTCGCGGTTTTCAATTATACATTCAAAATCAAAGCAACAAGTTGTTTTTTTTTTGATTGTTTTGATAGTAATTCTGACATTACAAGTCAAACAGGTATACCTCTATACTCGCAATTTTTTCAAAGTTAGCCTACCTTTTCTTAATTGTACCATCATTAAAAGTTTTAAAGGGAAAAATATGAGTAGCGAATAATCATACCCAAACGCTTTTAGACTTTCTTTCAATATTTTTTTCTTTATACGCGAAATTACAATTTTAGAAAGCTTTCTTTAGTTCCTAGAATCCTGCTCGCCTTGTCGTTTCACTTTGCAAATACACCTTGGTATAGCCCAAGTCGATATAAATAAATAGTTTCTTTCGCATTTCAATTTAAAAATACTCTAAGTCTCGTTTAAGATTTAGAGTATAACGTGTTTATTAAGATGCTGATACCAAAAGTAGTAGAGTTTTTGTGAAATACAAACTATTATGTTAACAATTTCAACTTTATGCACCAATGTCATTGCACATTTAGAGACATAACTATTTTTTAATTTCTATTCTAAGAAATTAAACAAATTGTAAAAATATATCTTTACAAATTCTATGAATGCCCTCCATTAGTTGTTAGTATTGACCGATTTTGAATAAATTTTAATTAACTCTAAATTACATATGTATGCATGCACTCAAAGTGCCATTTTGTAAATCTCCCCCCAGTAAATTTTGAACCTGGAAATTTTAGACTTTCATTTCCTTCTATTTCCAAATAAGAAAACTACATTACAAAGGAAATAAAAAATATCTGTTTTGTATTTTTGCAGATTATTAAATGTTTTCGATAAAATGAAATTCTTTAAATTTTGGCGCAACGATTGATGATTGATTGTGTATATGATTAAAACTGAAAATCTTTTAGGCAATTAAAGAGAGTTATTTTTAAGAAAAACCGCTGTAAATTTATTATTGCATATTTGTTATGGAATTTCTTTATTTGTATATTTTTTCAGATCTCATCTGAAAATCAAATATAATAATATTCGTTATATATTAAAAAAAAAACAAATTTCTTTAAAGTTAACCTTTCTTTAAGAAAAATAATTTGTTTTTTTTTTCATTTGATTTTTCTATTCAAAAACAAATTAGTCGTATCGAAATAAAATATGTTTGGAAATAAACTTCTAAAATGTACCCATATGATTAAGTACCTCGGTTTTTTATATTTTAGCTTTTAATTACCTAGAAGTTTAGGCTACTATAATAAGGCTTCATTTCGAAAAAAAAATTGAAAAACACAAAAATAAATGTAATTAGTAATAAGTGGGAAAACTAATGATTTTTTTATTTAAATGGGCAGACACTCTCATCTATTTTCTAGATTTCTGTTTGTTTTTGTTTTATTGCAACATACCGATTGAATTGTAACAAAATCTAACATTTATTGTACATTATTAAACTAAGACATAAGCTAAACATGTGGTTACAATTTAATTATTGTAGTTGTTTATTGATATTAGCAAGTAAATACACACACACAAACAAACAAAACTTTAAAATTAACACAAAAATAGACACCAAGAAACTAGTAATAAATCAATTAAAATTAATCAATAATTGTAAAATTTTCATTCAAGATGCTCTTAAAATAAAAGTAATAAACTAAGTGTTAACGAATGATTCATATTTTTTTAATTTTAATTTGTAATGTTTTGTTGCTCAATTTTGACTTAGATATTTTAATGGAGGGCCAACAATGCTATGAACTCTAAAAAATAGCAAACTCGTATACGTAAAATGAAGATTAAGACAAAGTTGTTGAGTTCGATGAAAAGAATATAGGTAATCCCAATTTTCTCTGGCATCCCAGCTTGGTACAGCAGGAGCCTTCAACAAAGTTGGATTCGATCCAAAAAACTCAATAGCGCAGGTATTTCCCCCATCCATATTGACTAGATTGATGGACGCTAATAAACAGAATTCCCAATTCAAATGCTGCTAGGAGCCCCACAATGAAACTGTCACTAAAGGGTCAAGTCTATAACTGCGACTTCTCGCGATCCATGAGATACTTATGGTATTCGACCAATAACAAATGAAGATAACAGTTTTAAGTGCAACTATATGCAAAACTGCTACATAAAGCTTTAGGAGACAGAAGAGCATCTGTTTGGGGTATCAGAAGGGAACTTGGTTGCCACACACGAAGTTGCTGCCGACTGCACTAAATGGTAAGACAACATTTATTTAGAACTGTATTTGCATATATAGTCGGTGTTCGCCAGTTGATGCTCACTGAAATCAATCGGTTGATAAGCGATGGAATTTCGCTTTGAATGCTGAATTCCGGATATATCGGGAAGGTAGAACAGGATCCAGAAATGTTCAGTGTGTAATATATTGTATTGATCGTGGCAGTGATCACCAATGGACATTTAGACACCGTAGCAACGTTATGTGCCCCAGCCACAAGAGGTATCATCTAGTGTTTTGTACTTTATTCCTGTGATGTGTAACGAGATGTGAAGAGGGTTGTCGAAAACCTATCTTCAATATTAAGTATTTAATTTGTGCTCGATGAAGAATTTATCGAAATAATCATAAACCCATGATGGAACCACGAGCGTACTGCACCACCGATTCATATGTTCGAAAAGGAGGAGCTTCGTTGAGTACAACTCGAAATGCGTCGAAGGCTTGTCTACTAAATATTATTGAAATCGTCTAGCCACCACCTGACTTTGTTTGGAAGAGTGGAATTATTGACTGAACCCACCAAATTTAACACGCTGACTTCAACGTGAAATCGGATTAATATGTATGTGAGCTAAATCCAAATCTGAACCGCTTCCTATAAAATTTGGCAGATTAACTTCAGGGTTTTATCTAATATCTAATACCAAATCTAATCGTTGTGGAATGCATATTATGGATAGCTATATCTAAACCTATTTTTTAAGTACTTGCTTCTAATCAAATTCAAAATCCATCATATTTGGATGAATATTTCACAATACAAAAATCTCTAGAAGATATGTATCTAAATTAAGACCGATAGAACGATTTGTGGAAAATTTTATCTTAATCGGACAATAAATTCGACCTGTAAAACTATGAGTTTATCTTGTTTCTTTTTCCATGTTAGTAACAAATTCACAAAGGCTATACCCTCTACGACTGTGTGGCGTAAAAGAATAAACGTAGTAAAATAAATCTTGGTGCTCAGGTGTGTGATAAAAACTGGACGACGTACCATGGCTCATTGCGAACGGTTGCTCAATTTCGAAGAAACTAGAGAAATGCAATTCTGTGCCGGAGTCTTATAGTGCCAAATAAAAGTCATAGTGCCAAATAAAAGTCTATAATTAAGCAACAGTTGGCTTTGTTTACTTTTATTTTTTAACATAATTCTTATATTGGGAAAACCCCGGAAAACAAGAACGGAATTTCGGGATTATAACACGAGATGGAATCTAAAATAGTAGGACAATACAGTTTTATCACAAAATTGTACAATTTGTTACCCATATACGACGAAAATTTGCATTTATTTTGCAACCAAATTTTAAATAATTTCAATTTTTTATATTTTTTAGGTGAACATATACTGTTTGAAATTTGGAATAGAGTCGCTCTTCATGTGGGGCCTGGAAATTTGTGTTCATGTGGGGGCCTGGACATAGGTGGTTCCGAAAATGTGTACTATCATTGTACGAAAAGTACTGAATGCTACTACATTTGCTATGAGTGAAAGGATAGTGATAATATTTTAAAAATTGATATTTAGATTACTGATGGTATTTGGAATTGAGATATGAAGCTGGAGGAAATGTGAACTACAATGGTACGAAAAGTATTAAATAGTACTAAATTTCGTATTGGGTAAAGAAATATAACTGAAAATCGGTAGTTTGATTTAGATTTCACTTTTGGTATCTGAGGTTGAGATTTGCAGATAGTTTCGGAAATATGTATAATAATTGTTCGAAAAGTACTAAGTGGTACTAAATTGAATATTGGGTGAAGGAATATGGCTTGAATCCCGAAATTTGATACTGAGGTCTCTTTCGTTGAGATTTGGTGGTGGCTTTACAAATGCGTACTATATACTGTTGGTGTCTAGGGTGAAGAGATGTATATTGTTTTGGATAACGTACTAAACGTTACCAGATTTGGTGTTGTGTGAAGGGATTTAGCTGAAATTTGGTTTGGTATAGGGTTTACATATGGAGACTTTTAGACAGAACAATTGGATGTGGGTCCATTGTGCAATGGATTTACTAATATCATCCTGGGTAAACCTCAAAATGAGAGATTGTGAAGACTTTTTTGTATAAGAGGTAAACATTTTCCTATTATTCTCTCTTAAAATAGAAAGAACCTTGAATAATATATATAATCCTCGAAAGTCTGAAAATTTAGTACGATGTATAAAGTTTTTATTAACAAAATGTTATCAAACTTACAATAAAATGTTGGAATGAATCTATAATTTTAAGGTAGACTTTTGGCTGACGAAGTAGTGGGGACTTGCTGATCTCATAGCATAACAATCGTGATCAAACTTTGTCAGGATAATAGTCATATTTTGAATAATGTTCAAAAAATGTGAAGTCAGTTGTTGTAAAATTGACTGAAACTTGTTAACAGAAATCCTTGTTGAAAATGTAATGTCGTTTCACTTTAGAAATAGCCATCTAAATTTACAAATATATGCAGAACTATTTGGTATTATAGAACTTCACCAAGCTACTTAAGAGCCAGATAGCTGAAATTCAAAAAGACTTTCAATGGTTTGGATTTGGAGTTCAATAAGAAAGTTACGCTCAATATTCTTTCCTTTTTATACCCTCCACCATGCTATGGAGGGTATATTTACTTTGTCATTCCGTTTGTAACTCCTCGAAATACTCATGTCAGATCCAACAAAGTATATATATTCTTGATCAGCGTAAAATTCTAAGTCGATTTATCTATGTCCATCTGTTGCAATCACGCTATCTTTCGAACGAATTGAGATAGAAGGCTAAAATTTTGCATACATGTTTATTTTTCCAGTAGGCAGGTAAATTAGTAAAATAAATGGGCCATGTAGGTCCACGTTTGCCCCCATATAACGGTACTTCCCGATATTCGGTATTTTGATGATTTTAGCGACATTATTTACCGGAATTGTTTCAAATTTGGTATTTGAAGTTCGTAATGGATACTACAGCCTGTGACAGAAAATTGTCAGTGCATGTCCAGGTCTTCGTATAGCTCCGATATAACGATACCTCCCGATGTACCGTATTTTGATGAATTTAGCTACATTATTCACCGTTTGTTTCAAGTTTCGAATTTGAATATGGTAATGGCTTGTGACAAACAATGGCTATGTAGGTCCACGTCATATAGACCCCAATATAACGGCTATATTCTGTATTTTTAAAATTTCATTTATGGAGGGTATTCAAAGTTCGGCCCGGTCGAACTTACTGCTTTTTATATTAAGTTCGTCATTCCGTTTGTAACTCCTCGAAATAATCATTTTAGACCCAACAAAGTATATATATTCTTGATCAGCGTAAAATTCTAAGACGATTTAGCCCTGTCCGTCCGTATGTTGTAATCACGCTACAGTATAAACGAATTAAGATAGGAAGCTAAAATTTTGCACAGATCTCCCTTTTGTCTGCAGGCAGGTCAAGTTCGAAGATGGGCTATATCGGTCCACGATATCGTACATCCCCCATATAACGGTAACCCCCGATATTCGGTATTTTGATGATTTTACCCACATTTTTCAACGGAATTGTCTGAAAATCCACAAAAGGAGTTCCTTGTGAGTACTTTATTCCTTTATACCCCACGGTATTCGGTATTTTGATGATTTTAGTCACATTTTTCAATGGAATTGACTGAAATTCCACAAAAGGAGTCCCTTGTGGGCATTTTAACCCCTCAAAAAGAATTGTCTATATACGTTGACGATATCGTATATCCCCCATATAACGGTACCCCCCATATTCGGTATTTTGATGATTTTACCCACATTTTTCATCGGAATTGTCTGAAAATCCACACAAGGAGTTTCTTGGGGGTACTTTATACCGCGGCAGAGAATTATCTATATAGGCCCACGATATCGTATATCCCCCATATAACGGTACTCCCTTATATTCGGTATTTTGATGATTTTAGCCACTTTTTCCAAGATAATTATCTGAAAATCCACACAAGGAGTTCCTCGCAAGTACTTTACACCCAGACATAGATTTGTCTTTATATCGGCACCTTCCTATATTAGCTATTTTAAAGATTTTAAAAGAATTTTTAATGGATTTTATTTTTTTTTTGAAAATTTTCTAATCCGTTCCAAATGGTGGAGGGTATTCAAAGAACTTACTGTTTTTTTACTTGTTAACTTGTTATTTTTCTATTTTTGCCAATATTTAATGTTCAATAAATTGATGGTAGAAATGTGTAGCATATTTTGCGGCTTATGAATTGTTACTTTCATTGAAGGCAATTATCCCTGTAATTATTTGTTTATTAAACGAGATAGATTAGAGATGCTTTTGATATATCTTGAAGTGCTTGTGACCAAGAATACAAGTATCTATGAGTTGTGGAAACCTTCTTCCCTGAAGTGTTTCCCACGCCTTCTGGACCTTATTAATTTTGGCGACCTTACTTTGGCAAGGTCATATTGTAAGTAGCGGGCTTACAATGGAAATGTTGGAAAAATTCTAACAATCGTTGCTGGAACCCCAATTGAATTCATCTATTTGATTTGCCAGTAAAATTTTGAAGTTGTCAATAATAATTTTGTTCCCATTGCAGATAATGGAATATCCTGGCCTTAATGAAGTTGACGAGCAGCATATAGAAGTGGACCTTTTCAATTTTATCATCTCAGGGAAGAACTAAGTGATTACAACTTATGGGAAAGGTCAGGCTAAGTCAACGCGCACTGAGCGATAAATACGAATTTGGTTCTGCTCACAGTTTGAAGAAAAAAATTAGTGGAATTAAATCTCTGTTTAAGAAGAAATAATATTTATATATTTAAATTTTATGTAGGTATGTTATGTTATATTTTATTTTCGAATGTTATTGAAATCTCCAAACATTAACCGTGCTAAAACCTTTATTTTCAATGCAACAGTTCTCCGTTAATTCATATGTGGCAAGTTTTCTCATGAATTTCAAACGATTTTCCGTAATGCCATGACGACCAGGATCGCCAATTAAAATGATTTTGCCATTCGAGCTCAACTTGTGCAGCCAAGGTAGTAGAATTTCGGCAATTTCTTCATCGTAGAAAAGGTCTCCGATGAATACCAAATCTTCGGTTACATTCGAGCCAATTAAATTATCGTTTGAGATAAAGAGTTTCTTTATATCAATTTGATTTAATTTGGCATTTAATAAAGCAGCAATGCCAGCAACTGAAAATAATTATATTATTAGTTATTTTGTAAAAGGAAATTAAATGAGCAATAGTCACCTTCGTCAATATCATTTGCTATAGCATATTTCGCCGTCTTCTCAATGGCTGCAATAGATGTGGCACCACAACCACTTCCCACATCCAGTACAGACTTTCCGTGCACAAGTTCTGGGGTTTCCAAAACATATCTGAAATTTTGTATTAAAATATTTTAATGTATCCGCCAAAGAAGTGAATATTTATAGTTATCGTACTTGCTTAAGGCCTGGCCCCCTGGCCAATAGAAAGCCCAAAACGGATCATTTTTAAAGACTTGATTTTCCTCATTCAGTTGTGGTTCATAGAAAAGACGACATTCCGGAGTAATTAAATGCAGAGCAATATTTGGTGTAAGGTGTTGGCGAGAGATTTTTGTTTCCCTCAAAATGTCTTGTTCAATTTCGTAGTTTTCATGGAAGCTGAAAGTAAAATATACGATACATTATTGAGCGGAAAAAAATAAATTCAATATTTTAAAAATAAATCAAACTGAGAGTATGCAGATGGGAACCTGAAAAAAAGAATTTGAATCATAATTTAATGTACCGGTTTTAAACTTTTCTGCACATTGTCACATATAATTCGAAACCTTTTTTATTTGTAATTCATGTAATATAAATTTGGAATTTTTCATAACACAGACTTGCTATTGGAAATTATAAGAAAATCGTGAACGACTCCGAAAAATAGTTAAATTTGTTTAAAGTAAAATAAAAATTGATGATCATTTTATGGTAAATATTGAATTTACACATTTATTTTATTCCGAGATCCATGGTAAAATTTAATAAAGAATTCCACAAAAATTAAGTATTATGGGAAAAAGTCCACCTTAAAATTTGCAATTCGTTCCAACAGTTCGTGTTATGCCTTTTCAGTACTCAAAATGCACAATTTGTTTAGTTTGACAAAAATAATCAAATTTGATATTGAGGACTCTGTTGGTATCTGGAAGTGAAATGTGTACTATAATTGTACGAAAAGTACTAACTTTGGTATTGGTTAGAACTGAAATCATGAAGTTTGATATGAATGTCACTGTTCGTGTTTGTAGTTGTAGTTGGAAGGAGGTGGTTTTGGACACGCGTAGTATAACTGTACGAAATGTATGTTAATAAATTTGGGATTGGGTCTTTGGATAGGCCTGTAATTCTGAAATTTCTTATAGTTATTTTTTTACATTTTTTTTATTTGTTTGGTTAATTGTTTGGCTTAAGGTCTTTCATTTTTGAGTTTTTCGTTTTTTATTCATCCAATATTTCGATTTCCTTTTGAAGTCATCTTCAGGGATATTTTTAAAGTAAAAGCTCGTCTATTTAATTTAAATGTCACTTTTATTGAATGAAAAATCAAAAATGTCGGAAATAGTATCAAATTTTAGAATAAGTTTAGATTTATTCGAATTGGTCACCTTTGGCACGAATTATGGACTTCAAACGGCCAAAACTGTCACACGCTGCCCGAATGTTGCTCTGCGGTATTTTGCTACTACTGAACAACGAATGTTTTCTCATCGGAGAAAACCAAATTCGACAGCTCACCACTTTCGGCCAAGCGAAGCAACTCTTTAGCTCTTTTGAGACTATTTTCTTTCTGCTGCGGTGTAAGTTCTTGCACTTTTTGGAATTTCAATGGCTTTTACCCGAGCTCATTTATCAATATTTGCCGAATGACATATTGCCACTGCTACGCGGGTTTCGGTCAAGTCGCTTCTTTATTTTTCGAACTATTTCTGCTGATGTTGCTGAATTCTTCCGTCCGCTTCCTTGACGGCAGGCTACGCTACCAGAATTGCGGTAACGAGCGATACGAGACACAAAAGATTTATTCACATTTAAATGCTGGAGTGCTCTAACGATGGTCAGTTGTGGTTTCCCAGCCAAATATAAAGAAATCACACCATCACGCTTGAATTCCATCACGAATAACTTTTTTCTGGAAAATTCTCACAAAATGCTTTTTAACGTAAATAATATGAGCTGTCCCTGGAATAATTTTAACAGCTGCCGGACGAGTGGCATACAAATTACAGCAGTCTGAAGTTGGTTGCAGTTTTTTCATCTCACCCTGTATAATTTTGAGAGAAGGAGGTGGATTTGGGAATGCGTACTTCGAAAAGTACTAATTGGTATTAAATTTGCGGTTGAGTGAGAGGACAGGGCTTAAATCCCGAAATTGGTCACTGTTAGTTTCTAGGATTTAGAAATAGTGGTGACCAATATTTATACCCCACATCACAGGGTGCTCAGGGTATTATGTCTTTGTGCATTTTTTTGTAACAGGCAAAAGGAAACGAGCTAGGCCCATAGTTCCTTTTGATGATCTGCATAGAATCATATTCTAAGTCGATTTATGCATGTCCGTTCGCCTGTCCATGCATTTTTGTAAACAAAATACAGGTCGCATTTATTGCCCGATCCAGATTGAATTTTGCACAAATCATTTGTTTGAACCAAGGACAAACCCCATTGAAATTGGAGATAATCGGTCAAAATTTATATATCTTCGTCCGATTTGCCTTTTATGGAGTGTTTCACATACGACCAAATTAAACCGGAAAATAAGTATGTCAAATTTTATCGAAATCGGTTCGGATATAGTTAAAGCTCATCTGATTTAAAATTTTTGTCCTCCGCAGCCGTAATATGCACTCTGTAACAACGATATGTGGGGAAATGTATCAAATACAGCTAAATTCTATCGAGTTCGGTTCAGGTTTGGATATAGCTCCCAGATATATACTCGTCCGCTTTGCCTTTTATTGTGCACCAAACGTGTAATATTAGCCCAAATGATAAGGAATTTGGTTCTTTCGACAAAATTTGGTCTAGAAACAAGTATGTCTAATTTGGTGTAATTCGGTTCAGATATAGCTATAGCTCCCATATATATTGTTCATGAATTGGTGGACCGACTCTAACATTTTAAGGTGGACTTTTCGCTGACAAATTGGCTGGCAATACCAAATTTTGGAATTTTATCTCTGTCCCTTCAACCATGACGAGATTTAGTACCATTTAGTACTTTTCGTACAATTGTAGTACTCATATTCCACCTCCATGTATCCAGGCTATACATGAACAGTGACCCTAATACCAAATTTCAGATTTCAAGTACCATCTGTTGACTTAATGCCAAATTTTTCCAAATTTAGTACTATTTATTACTTTTCGTGCGCTTTTAGTACACATATGCAACACCGTCTCTTTATGACGAACCTATGATCAATAACAACCCCAATACCGAAAACTCGAAATCCCAACTCTATCCATACACCCTAACCCAAAGTATTCCAAATTTTGTACCATTTACTATGGTTCGTAAACTTAGTACATACTTCCAAAACCACCTTTGTTGCTAACCTTGATTGTAACCAGGGTACATCTATCCTGCATTCCATCATTGACTATCATTCCATTTCATTTCAGAATTCTAGCTCCTTCCGTTCCTCAAATATTGTCAATATGTTAAGAACCATATTCTGGGTCAATTTATGAATATCTGACCATATACTTTTGTAGGGAAATTACAGGTCGCATTTATTGTCATATTGAGATGATATTTTGCATACCTTCATATCATTGTTTTATACTAGTTGAGCTTATACCTGAGCGACCGCCGGTATCCGTTTTGATCACTTGTTATTAAAATATATTCTACATTTTGCGTCCAACCCTTATACATTTCCGAATAAAATTATCAACATAAAATGTATGTATATAATGCTAATTAACATTGCTCTCATTCGATTCAAGAAATATTATCTCCTTAGCTAGATGTTGGCATTCCAGGAATTCTGGTCAGTTCGAAACATATCTTCAAATAAATCGTCATCGTCAATTCTTCACATAGTTTCATTCAATTAACAGTTATAATTAAGGTTCAATAACGAATCGGATTGATGGAATATGTGGATGGCAAATGTTGGTGTTGGAATGTACATTGGTATGTGTGTACTGTACCTCGATACGTGCTGCAGTGCAAGTACGAAAAGTAATGCGAACCACTTCATGCACGTTATGTTCGCACAATGGAAGTGCGTCCAATTAATAATTGACACTGATAAAAACGTAATGAACAAAATATTTTCTTCAGAATCGACTCGATTTGGAAAGTACATAGTGCATAGATGACTGCGTGATATTTTGGAGGTTTGGTGAAATGTTATAGGACAGAAATATGCCGTATTATTGAAATATTAATTTTCTAAATTGAAGTGATAATTTTCGGTTAGTTGATCAAAATGCTAAAAGAGTTTTTGGTTTTCAGGCCAAACTTTTTTTTAGATCCTTTTATATAGCCTTAGCTATACACAAAGGGTCTCCAATATTTTGTTTTATAATTCACAAAATTTGAAATATAAAAGCTTCACTTGGAGACGTTTGTTCCATTGTGTTCATCCCAGGAACAATAAAGTTGTACGTGATAGGAGAGATATAGAATCAAGAAAAAGAAGAAGGGTTTTATGGAGAGAAGTATATGTAGCAGAGTGGTCCGCCTAGTTAGAAAATGATTTTTGAAAAGTTTTAGATGATTAGATGGGAGAAGAATGTTAGAGTTTCAATTTCCCAACTGGATTGGATAATATGGGATAACTACGTAGTGGATGCTTAATCGTCTCTAGTTTCATCTTCAGAAAGTCCACAGACCTACTAAATGACAGAAAGGAACTTGTTCTTCTTCTCGAGATTACCGCTGAAATGGCCTTATTCGATAAGAGACTGTTTTGAATCAGCGGACATAATAGCTTATAAATTGACAGGGAACCAATAAAACCTAATGAATTCACTGAAAATTTTCATGCAGTCGAGAATGGCTCGCGATTGAATGACATTTGTCTTGACAACATGTTTTAATTCGTTTCGCTGATTTCTTTGGGTGCTAACTGCCTTCCTACAAAAGATTGTCGATGGGTGAATGTTTTGCATATAACGATACCTCCTCCCTCCCACATTCCTAAGCAATATTGTCTGTGGTTAAAAAAAAATCAAATGTAGATTAAGGAATTAAGTCATTACAGGAAAACGAAACGAAATAAACCCATAGTTCTTTTTGATGATCTCCATAGAATCACATACTGAGTCGATTTATGCATGTACGAGCCCTATTGAAATTGGTGTTATCCGATTTCATAAGTATTGATTCCTGTTGGAATGTCCAAGGTCTGCGGCTAAAATGTTTGCGTGCCCAAGACGATAATATTCGACATTTATTCTGATGCCACAGTCGATTAATACGAGCGGAAGCCATAACCGGGGCTTGAGTTCTGGTGGCCAACCGAAGGTGCACATTTTCAGCTGATCTCTTTGGCAAGTAAACACGATCATTTTGTTTGTTTACAAATTGCTGGACAACGAATGTCGGTGAAAACCAAATTCGGCAATTCATCACTTTCGGCCAAGCGAAGCAACTCTCTTTT